GGTGGTAGTGTGGTGGTAGTGGTGGTGGAAGGAGTAGGGGTAGTGGTGGGGGTAGTGGTGGTGGGGGTAGTGGTGGGGGTAGTGGTGGGGGTAGTGGTGGGGGTAGTGGTGGGGGTAGTGGTGATAGTAGTTTTAGCTGTAATGGCAGTTATGATATAGTATATTGGTGCTGGTAGTTGAATGTGGTGATAGTGGTGGCATTGTAAGTATGGAAGTAGTGGCTTTAGAGTTAGAGGTAGTGGTAGTGGTACTCATGATGGTTAACCTTTTGGCACTAAATTGGTAACTTAGGAGGAGGTGAGGTAGCTTTTATTTTAAACTGGAATCATAAGTATTTTTTGAGACAGCGAATTTGATGCATTCTGGCCATGTGTGGCCACTAGTTTCGCATAACGTTTACCGTGTTAATTGTACCAAAGCTTGGCCAGAATGCACCCTCTTTTGGACTGATTAGGAATTACCTCTGTGAGACGATCTGTTGGAAGGCAGTCTCGTTCTTCAAGCTGTTAGTTAACTCCATAATTTTCATGTCAGCTTCTCTCTTTTGCATTTCAAGATTATTTTTGTCAACTTTAATCAAAGACACATCCCTAGTTCTCTCCTCCAACATTACTCTACGAGGAAAACGTCATATATTTTTCAACAACAAGCATAAAAATCACTGGTATCACAAGGGGGTTCATCTATTCGCTTATCTAATGCAGTACGAATGTGTTGATTATGGTAAACTAAATCAGYGTGTGCAACCATGTGACTCAAAATCCCTCGAGATATGAATAACAATGAAACAGCCGCCGTGTTGGTTGATTTAATTAACAAGAGAAGCTAATGAGGAGCCAAGATGGTGCTTAAGACGTAACACGCACATGCTCTATAAAACAAATTGTATGATGTACCGTAGCTCCTTGATCTCTTTTTCTGATGCTTGCACACGTGTCTCCAGCTGAGATTGCGTCTAAATAAGAAAAACATTAGCAACCACATGATTGAAAATCCCCCGGAATATAAATAACGAAACAGTCACCATGTCTTTTCCCTGCTAGCAGAGATTCCCTCGTTGGCCATTCTCTGCCAAGAATCACCAACGAGGGAGCCGAGGGAGACTCTGCTAGCAGGGAACCATGTTGGTTAATCCTACCAAAAGAAGCTAATGCTTTGTTATCGTCACCACCCATGGCGGCTCTGACGTAACATGCACCTCAAGAATATTAAACAGGAATTTACGCGATAAATCAATCAACCAGTACCTACGCTATAAAAATATTTTGTGTATGTGTGCAGTCATGTATGTCTCTCTATTCATTGTAGGAAGTTTATGGATTGTGTTGGTAACTAATAG